TTCAGAGACTTTTTGCATTAATTCAAATGTATTGCACAACTTGTGTTTCCAAAACAAAGATATAGCTCTCTATTCTTGGAATTCTAAAAGAATAACTTTAGATGGAGTCATCAGTAGTTCTTTTCACTAGCTATTCATGGCTATTTTCCACAGAACAGGAGCTTTACCAAACATTGTTCACATATGGGCACCTGTCTGGACCTGCTGCAGTACTGCTTGGCTTCGGTCGCTTCTATCACATCACATTATATGCCTTTGTAGGACAGATCCAGTTACAGAATTATGCTGGCTTTGCAATGCTGCTTTTTGGGAAGGAATTAGGCAGTGAGATTTCTACAGTAGCAAAAACATCCCATGCAGATGTACCTTACATTGGCAAAAGAGCCCTTTAGCCAGCCCGGTTTACCAGAGTCAGGGAGCTGTGCTTCTACTAGGAGCTCTGGCAACATAGCTGTGCTGACTAAAGCTTTGTAATGTAGCTAGCTCCTAATTTTGGTCAGCTATCAGCATCAGAGATTCAGGCATCAAAATTAGTTCCTTTAAACATGCTGATAAATTCAGACTAATTCCAATACTGCCCAGTCGCTGGCTGTTTACGGAGTAGAAATTTTCAGGGAATTGAGGAAAAGTTGCCATCTAAATAGTAAAAATCACCATACTGTTAATATATGTATTTTCTACCATGGTTGTTTCAAATATCACATTTGCTTCCAGGGAGTGTATCAGAAAGCAGAGTGTAGCACTCATTTCTGGTTGGGCTTTTTTTTGTTTGAATTCTGAAATAAGATCTCTTTTTATACAGAGTATTATAATTTCTGTAAAGCTGTGTAAGAACAAGCAGATTATCTCAGATTTTTGAGATACTGAATGACATTCAGGGCTTTTGCATGAAAAACAAAACAAAACAAAAAAACCAATACCGATACAGAAGGTTTTCAGATAGCATCAGTGAGACTGAATGCAATTTACTCAGCTGCAGAAAGTTTATTTCAGAAAGCCATTCAAATTCTGCATAATCAAACAAAAAGCCTCACAAATTTCTGCACAGCTTATACTTCTTTTACTGAAACTATTAGGAAACCAGTGGACATTGGTCTGCCAGTGAAGACAAACACTAACAAAGACAAATAAGTATAGAAGGGGTTTTTTCCCATACCTGCTGACTTCCATATAGTATTTTAAGTGCAATCAGCATGAAAACAGTAATTCACATATGTGTACTGTGCTACTTATTCACCTCGATTTCTGTTGCAAAAATGTTGAAACACGTTAGAGATCTCTATGTTATTTTATGCTCCCTCCCCTCTTTCCATTTGATTTGCTCAGATAACCTGATGCCTTTTTCATAGCTGTAGGTAAACAGATCTTCCACAAATCTGTCCAAAATCCTGCCCAAATGCTGGCTTGCCAATACCCAGAGCAATGTCCTGTACAACAGAAGGACAAACATGAAATACACATTAATCTTTAGCCTTGTAACTCAAATACCTTCCTTGATAAAGGCTATTACAGGGATTTGCCAGAGAGAAGTGAATTTGAGCATGTGGTTTTGTTCAAGCTGGTTTTATTTGCTTTTCTTCAGAAATAAACCAGATCATGTTGAGCAAGACATTTACACCTAATCTGCTCAGAGGCACTATTAAGGACATGTTTTAAAACCCAGAAATTTGGTGTGGTCTCTGGTAACTGTGTTGACAGGAAGATGGCAAGACCAGTCACTTAAAATGACCTACCTTTTTTACAGTAATGTTGGGATTTTTTCTTAACTATTAGTAATAGTATTAGGTGTATAAACAAACATATTTTCTTTAACAACCCCGTAAATCTGTATCGGATAAATCTCTGTTTTTGTTCCTGTAAACAAAGATATGCTGTAAAAAAACTAAAAGGGAGGCAAATTCTTAAGAAGTATATTTATTTCTTCTGTTGCACCACCCAGAAAAATTTCTACTCTCAAGTCAGTGAAAGCAAACCAGGCACTGGATTTATGCAGTGCTAATTAAGATAGACCAGAGTGAAGTTGGGAGCTGCTACAAGTCCCCACTGTGTCATTTAAGCACATTCACAGGTAGGTAGATTTCACTTTAGACCAGCTCATCTGATCAGCATTCTGTCTGCTGATCCTAGCCAGGTCTAAGAGGTCAACTGTCACAAGCTGGATCAGTGATAACAGTAACCTACACAAAAAAACAATCTTGGTGCATTTTGCAGATGACACCAAGCTGGGTGAGAGCGTTGATCTTCTTGAGGGTAGGAAGGTTCTACAGAGGGATTTCAACAGGCTGAATCAATGGGCTGAGGACAACTGTATGAGGTTCAGCAGGGCCGGTGAGGGACCCTACACTTGGGTCACAACAACCCCATGTAACACTACAGGCTTGGGGAAGAGTGGCTGGAAAGCTGCTTGGTGGAAAGGGACCTTGGGGTGCTGATTGACAGAGCTGAACATGAGCAGCTCATGCTCAGGCAGCCAAGAAGGCCAACAGCATCCTGGCCTGTATTCCTTGTTGAGTTCTGGGCCCCTTACTACAAGAGAGACATTGAGGTGCTGGAGCGGGTTCAGAGAAGGGCAACAGAGCTGGTGAAGGGTATGGAGCACAAGTGTGATGAGGAATGGCTGAGGGAACTGGGAGGTTTAGTCTGGAGAAGAGAAGGCTCAAGGGGGACCTTATCACTCTCTACAACTGCCTGAAAGGAGGATTGAGAGAGGAGGTGGCTGGTCTCTTCTCCCAAGTAGCAAGTGATAAGACAAGAGGTAATGGCCTCAAGCTGCACCAGGGTAGGTTTAGACTGGGTATTAGGAAAAACTTCTTCACTGAGAAGGTAATCAGTCGTTGGAACAGGCTGCCCAGGGAAGTGGTGGGATCACTGTCCCTGGAGATATTTAAAAAATGTGTAGACATGGTGCTTAGGGACGTGGTTTAGTGGTGAATTTGGCAGTGCTAGGTTTACAGTTGGACTTGATGATCTTAAAGGTCTTTTCCAACCTAAATGATTCTTTGACTCTATGATATTAGTTCTTTAAGTATTTATTCTGCTTTTTCTCCTTAATAATTATTCCACAATTCTAATTCCTCCATCTGTTAGAAGAATTCAGACCCTAATGGCTATTTCAATGCAGCTGAGAACAGATTTGTCTGCAGTATTTTAATATAAAAGGAATATACATGGTTTATTACTTTGTTCTTGATATGTAAAATTTATTTATATAAGCATGAAAGCAAGCAGCTTTGTATGCTCATTCCTACAAGTCACTTGAATCCATAAGTGTGTCTTTCCTAAACCAGTCTGTTAAGTCTCACCACAAAATCATCAAGCACAGGGGTAGCCCTTTCAAATTAATGCAGCAGGTAGGCATATAGACAAACAGCTGTCTGGCATTCCCCAAATGGCAGTACCATCATCATGAAATAATAGCAGAAAAACTGCATAGCTCCAGGAAGTCAAAATGGAAGCAGGTCTTTTGCACAGGTCCCACATTTGGAAATGGAGCCACCTCCTATGACAGAGTCATCCTTAGGCTGCTGAGGAAACTGTCTCATATAGAGAAAATACCTTTTTTCAGGGGCAGGAGTCAGGACCCCTTCCTAAAAGCTATTTTAGTTTCCTCAGTGCTGCAAAGTATGAAAAATATTTTTGTATTATGAATATCATGTTTTATTCTCTCCTTTTTCAGAGCAATTCCTTTGCTTTGTGTTAAATAGCTCTCTACAGATATACTTTTAGGTTTGGGTTTGGGTTTTTTTGTCTTTTTTTAAAGATAAGATGAACACTGCACCATCTTGCAGAGAGAGATCTCTATAGCCTGAGATGCTGCCATGTATTTGTGCAAAATGCGTCACATTCACATAAATTCACACAAACCTCTTGCTGCTGTGTATTCGCACATGTGTCCACTTTGAACATCCTAAGGACCAAAAAGTAGGAGAAGAAGCACAGTGGGTTTGGGAGCACCAGGAGCTTCTCACTGTGCAGACCATAACCCAGCCTCATCTGGGGAATGCAGAAGTCAGGGCTGGAACTGGCAGGGTGCAAATGTGGTTACTCATGAAGCAGAGCTGCTAATGGTGACTGTAGCCCAGGCTGATGTGGAGATACCTGTCATTCAGAGGCACACACAGCCCTTGGCAGCTCTTGTGCTGTGGAGATGTTCAGTGTCTGTCTTCTCAGCTTGGCTGTATTTGCTCAGTGCTGAAATTGATTCATCAAGCACAGGAGGGCATTTTTGGAAGGAGCAGAGGAAGAACCTGGCTGACCTCAGGCTTGTGGCAAAGAGTTGTTCAGGCACCACCATGCAGGAAGCCACTGCCCAGGACTGGAGTCTGGGAAGAAATTTTTTGGAGAGGCCACCACATCCGAGTAAGGGAAAGACTCTGTTGATCATGGCTTGGCTTCCAACTCAGTCACAAACACAAACTTGCTAAGCCTGCCAGCTTAGCAGCTTCACTGACCTCAAAACACAAAGTCTCTGTAATGTAACCCTCTTCTTCCTCCCTCCCTCCTTACATTGCCTGAACTTCATTACTGGAGGTCTGGGTTCAGTTACAGACTTTATTTTAAGAGCTCAGTGCCTGATTTAGAGAAATCTCAGTTGGCTCACCCCAAAGGTTTCCTTCTTTAAGTGTAAAGCATTGAGATACTCAGCTGATGCGCTGTCACTGAACTGGTTGCAACCAGGCAGCTTTGAAGTAAAAACAACATCCGTAACAGATGAGTTTGCTGTGATACTTGTTCTTACTCATTTGTAAAACCTCAGCTTCCCTTCCTCAAGTGTTCTGGCTTGGACAATTTCCAGTAACAAGGCCTTTATTGTTACCTAGACCACAAACTGCTCTAAATTAATTTTTAAAGAGATTTGGGTTTTTTTCAGTGGAGGATGATGTTGTGTACTTTAGAAATATTTGAGCATGACATACTCTTTGTTAGATTGTTTTAATTGTATTCTCTATGTGAGCTAAGAGATAACATCTTTGTCACATAGCCTGTTTTTATTTTTTTAGGAGAGCCTGAAAGCTTTTGACCGGGAAGTAAATGAGTTTGTGGAGTATATGTTTGGGCCTCGAGGTAAGCTGCTCCACCTATAGCCCTTCTAGGAAATAATACCTATCCAGATTACCACTCAAAAATATTCCAATAAGTAGAAGCAATCAAAATCTTCACTGAGAGATTATTCAGATAGAAAAATGTGGACAAGGCAGAATCACAGTATTTACAAGAACACACCATTATTGTGGGAAATCTATGAATGCAATGCATTTATAGAAAGCCAATAGATTTTTGTGTTGACTCTTTGACGTATTACCTGCAATAGAAATTAAAACCACTCACAGATTATACTGAAGGTGAAAGAGGTTAGGCTGATTTTTTTTCTTTTTTTTTTTTTAACTTAGAAATCACTAGATTTGGGAGTCCTTTCTTTCTAAGAATGTCAAAGGATTTCAATTTTGCATCCTAATGTAGATAAAAGAAAAGGAAAGCCTGGATTTTTCTGAAAGTGGAAGATCTGGTTTGGGACTGATTCTCATTCATAACCCAGTTATTATTTGGTCCAGTTACCTGTCTTAAAAAACAATCACATGGTTTATATTTTAGGTAATAACTCCTGAAATGCGGCTATACGGTACCCGTACCCAAGAACTACACTATGTTTAGTCATTACCAGGTGTGGCTAAGAGCAGAAGAAGAAATAGAAAGCCACACCCTAGTTCTCAGAGGCAATCTCTGCTTTCATTGGTGATAGCAGGCAAACACCAGGTGCAGTATGGCAGTACTAGAAGAAGGGGTGTACTACCAAAGATCTGAATTTCATTTATATGTAGGCATATTTTATGCCTTTGTTCACTGGTTTCAGCTGAACTTTGTACATAAATGTACTTCAATATTTGCTTTTGAACTACCAGACCAAGTTCTTTGGATCAGGGAACAGAAACTGCATCTCTCAGTAAGAAGCAGTCTAATATTTTGGTGTTGGTCCACGCTATTCTGGATAGGAGATTACCTAGGCTCAAGGCAAAATGAGAGAGAGTGAAATAATGTTCTGTAAGAGAGCATTTTTCCAGGGTCGCCTTCATCTGCAGAGTATTGTTCGGTGTTATGAAAAATTAAGGAATATTGAATTGCAGGAACTAAATCTAGCTAATTGGTTGCTTGTTTTATATGAAAGAAACAGAACATCAGTAATACATATATTTTAATAAAGTGATGATAAAGTTATAAGTACCCCTCACATGAGTATGAACAGTAGCAAGGCATTGGCTCAAAACCATTTACCCTTTGCACCTAGAAAGATCTGAATCTACTCAGACACCAACCGGCCAAAGCTATACAGAAACTTGAATCCAAATGTTTCTAAACTTCACTGATAAATGCCCGATTCCTTTAAAGAGCCTGGGAGGCCTGCCACTCATTTCAAAGGAGCCAAGATTTCACCCCAAGGGTCTGGCACATCATGGCCAATGACTGTGAATGAACTTATTTGCAGAGCAATGTGAGTTGTGGGCACGTGCTTCTTCCTCCGTTGCAGTCCAGCACTTTCCCACTTTGGCTTTATTCACTGCCTTGGTCTCAAGTTCAGATGCTGTATGGGTCCAGTATTGTAAAAATAATCCTTTCTTCTATTGACAGTGCACCTTTACAGTAATTCAAATATGGAGATCAAACTGTCAGTCAACAGAAATGTTTGTGATCTCTCCTTCTTCTAATAACTTTTTTTTGAAATACATACCCTTTCCTCTCCATTCCTGCTTTGTAATAGATGGTTGTGTTGTCATTGCTGCTTTAAATTCTACACCTCTCTTAGAGGTTTTTGGTAGTCCAAAAGGGAAAGTCAAGAACAGGAGAGTATTGCACTTCATGGTAATTTAGGTCTGGCTGGAGGTATTTCCTGCAAAGGAGCTAACATCCCATGTGGAGCCCAAATTCAACAGATGGGTGTTACTGCAATGGAATCATGGTGGAAAGTGGAAGGAGACTGTAATGAGCAAGAGAGTCGATGTTCATAGCGTGGTTCATAAGCAGATTACTCCAATTCACTTAAAATCTCAGTTTACATACATGCGTATTTTTCCAAGGAAAGAATAGTCAGAAAGAATGCAGTGCAGCAAAATTGCAATCAGCCACAGTTTGTTAAATTGCTTGGGCACATTTGGTTTTTTCATCGTCCATTGCCCAGTCCTTTCCAAATTCAACAGAGGCAGAAAAATAATAATTCTTTTTCATGCACCATGAATAACTTTTCTTTTACAATTTTTAACATAACCTTGGTCTTTGTAAAAAAACAAGTAATTTAAAATAATTTCTAAGAGCAGAAAGAGCTACTGTGACCTGCACAATAGCTTTTCACTGACTTATTTCTTCATTTACTCCGTAATTCATGACAGATATAAAGTAACCTTTATGAAAAGCTAGCCATGATGCTCTTTGTTCCTTTCATAGACAAATGTCTGCAGATGGACATTCTGCAATACTAACTCTAAATTTTGATCCATCTCAAAAAAAAAAAAAAGGAAGGAAGGAAAGAAAGAAAACATTCCTTTCTCTCATGATATCCACTTGTTCATACGACAACAAAGTGCCGCCTCCAGACTGGCATATGGGATTAGGCTTTGCTCATATACACTGAACTATGTGATTACTGCCAGTGGGATTACTCGTGTGAATAAGGCAAACAGGATTTGACCTTAATATTTCATTTTAGGGCCAGGCAAATGGGACAGAAACTGTGAGAAAGCAAGCCCTTGCCTTAACAAAGATCTCCGACAGCCAAAGTAAACATTTGCCATTTGTTTTTCATATTTCATGTTTTTGAAAAATACCCCCCATAAATGCTTTTTAGCAAATGTTATATATCTTCATTTAATTCTGCAAATGAAGAATTAAAGTAATATATGAACTAACAACTTTACATGCATACTTTTATTGACTACTACTCACAAGCTATCTGTTGAGCAGATTAAGATATGATTTCATTAAATATAAAGTTAAAACATTAAATTACATTTTAAAAAGCATATAGGAATGTTTTCTTTTTATTTTCTCTTTCCTGTTCAAATAAGGAGATTTAAGTGACTTTAAATCATTAGGGGATTCCATGCAGTTTTCAGCACACATTCTCTGAATTAGTATGCGGTTTTGGGGAGGCAAAAGAAACAAATAAGTTTTGCAACCAAAGCATGGTAGATTCCCTCTCACACTTTTAGCAGATTTTTTTATCATAACGTGATTTGCCTTATTTTATCCATACTTTACCATAGCCTTCCTAATTGTGTGCATCATGTGTTTCTTTTCAGATCCCAGGGTTAGAGGATGGTTCCTTTTGGACTCTTACCTTCCCACTTTTTTCCTTACTGGAGCATACCTACTGTGCATATGGCTGGGCACCAAGTTCATGAAGGATAGGCCTCCTTTCTCTCTCAGGACTCACCTCATTGTATATAACCTTGGGATTACACTGCTCTCCTTGTACATGCTCATAGAGGTAAGCGTTCTTCCATGAAACATGCCTGAGGAGGGTAAGCAATATACAGTTTTTAGCAGGAATATCTTAGCAACATAGTCTTTCTGGGAAATACAACATCAACAGCACATATAAGATCAAGAAAAGTCCCTTCACAACTGGACAGTGAGTTGTACTGTAGCTTCTCAGCTTACATCTCAGAATGCTTTAACTGTTCTTTCTGAGCCACAGTCCACATGTGGGGACAGCTTACAGCTGTCCAGGCCAGTGTCTACAAGCATGAATTTGAATCTGCAGCAGTCACTCTGCTCAAACATGCCTACATGCACCTCATTCTTCAGCCCGCATGAACTGGGTTTTATTCATATGACTGCCTATGGAATGATTTTTCTATGTACAAACGTCCAAGCTTGAATATGAGCAGATGTATAGATGAAAGTAAGTACTGATTTATTTATGGTATTGACAATTCAATGTCATCTTTCTGCTCCCCAACTAAGAAGCTTTCCTCATATGGTCAGAGAGTAAGAGGTGTTAAAAACCTGCCACTTCAGCCAAAAGCAAGTGCTGTGGGACTTGGAAGCTGAATATGGTCACACAGATTACTCCCTAAGTACTTATCAGGAAGAAACACGCTCACAGAAATCAGGATCCATCCAGGGCCTGAAGAGAGGTTTGAATCATTTGATTATTTGGCAACAGCAGAGGACTCAAATAGTGCTCCTCAGCAAGAACGTGTGTTTTCACCTACCCAGTGAGGAGCAGAAGCCAAAAGTCACTATTTTGATATTATTTGGGAGATTCCCATTCTCAGCCTTGTGCTTTTTAATATTAAAGTGTTGCAGCCCTAAAAAGCAAAAATGCAGCGCTAAAAGAGAAACCTGACAAGACGTTTTCTGACTTGGCTTAAAAAGTGACCCCAGCCATGAGAAGCCCTGGCTGAAGGATGTGCTCGATTTCATGGTGTGACCTGTGGAGGTGTGAGCTGACATTGTTGCTTTGCCTGCACAGCCTCCATGCACTTCTTGCTCCCTGGCTTCCCGGCCACAACAGCAGCTTCCATGAGAAAAACAAGGACCGACTATTCTGTTGGTCAGACAAGAAACTGCAGAAGCCAAACAGGACCCCAGAGGTTTCAAGTTTTAAATTTATTTGAGCTAAACACCAGGTGACTGGTTAAAAGGCAGCAGAGCTTTTTAGGTTTGTGCCTTTGTGCAAAGGACTGATTGAGCTACACTGAGCATTGTCCTGCCAAAGCTCCAGCTGGCTTCAGCAGTTGCTGTGGGTGTCTGAGAGCGCAGGATCAGGCCAGAGCAGAGGAGAAACCAGCACAATTGCTTGAAGGTTTGATGACTCCATACTGATTGTCCTCCAGAATTCAAATTAGCACTTTGATGTTTAAATCCCTATTTTGCTGGAAGGTATACAGATAAGCCTTCAGTAGCAGGACTTGGCAAAAAGGATTAACTGAGAACAAAACTACTGATCCCTTCCCCTTGCAGGCTGATTTGGCTTGCCACTAGTAAATGAATGAACAGAAAGAATTTTAGCAGGTCTCACTAATGTGAATGAAGCAAACCTGGTTTTTGCCACCTTCACATCTTTGAACGAATTGTGCCTCTGCACAGGGACTACCCTGTCCTTCCTGAGGCTAACTTTGCTGCAGACAATTGCTGAGTTGTGTTACTGATCAGATTAGTCCCTTTAGACCTCGATTCTCTAGCTGGAGACTGCTGATTTTTGCCCCCCAGGCTGCAGCTGGGCATGGCTGGCAGTGGCTCAGAGCTCCACATTCCGTATTTGCTGGGAACCCAGGGGACCTCAGCACCGATCTGCACTGCCAACTGGTTTACTGCAGATTTCACTCTCAGCTCTGGACTGCCAGCCAGGCTAGTTTTACGCTGTGTAAAACACTTCCATAATAGTGTTTCTGTCTTTTTCCATGGTCTACTTGCTTGATTCCTATCACAGCCTCTCCTATGAAGGAGCAGAATGGAAGTTAAGACTTGCAGATGTGACTGAGGTAGCTTGCACATCCTTTCTTAAGGAAAACAGGCAAATGGGAAAATGGAAATCATCTTCAGTACTGAGTAACATTATGGTGACTCAACATTACAAAATATCTCGTTTCTGAAGCTTCTCTGCGGCCCTTATTCCCTCTGTCTTTTATGGACTGTGAGCTCTTTAAGGCAAGAGTTACCTATGTTTAAAGCATTCTGCAATGGTGGTTTCTTATGTAAACACAGCTGATCCCTCCAGTGAGTGTGATTCCAGATTAATTCCTCGTTAGAGACATCTGTAACAGTTGTCTTATTCCATCATCCTCCCAGTGCATCTGAACCCCTCTGGTCTCTGTAAGAGAGATTTATCACTTAATAATAAGCTCTGCAATAGATAAGAACCACCAAAAAGATACCCAAACAGTTGTTACAATTGTTCTCATCTATTCTTAGTTTTGTTTGTAAGGTTATTATAAAACACACTTTATCTTGTAATAGGTCCAAAATGGAGTGGGGGCTTCTTAGACATTTAAAAGAAAAAAATACCTCGCTCAAAAGAAAGGGTGTATCTCCAAATGCAGTCTGGCCTGTGTTATGGCTTTAAATGAGAAACACGGTAAACCAGCTGATGGGGGTACCGATGCTGCAATTTTTTATCCCCTCACTTTCATCTCCTGACCTAGTTTACCTGTCACTTGACTACAGTTGATTTGTACAGCCTCAAGGCAAGAAGACAAAGGTTACACTGAGGAGTCATAACAAACAGCCTGTTTTTAAGTCTGGAAGGGCAGAATCCTCTTTTGAGCCAGAGCTCCATGCACTGCACCATGTGCCTGAAGTATCTGGGTGCCAATTTTAGCTCCATGAGCTCTGAGGTCAACCAATCCCTAAAGCAGGAACAGCTCTAGGACAACTAAGATGTGCCATTAGCACAAGGTCAGATACAAAGGACAAGGTCTAAAGCAAAACAGCTCTGCCCAGCTGCCCCCATCCTACTGAGATGTCTCAGAATTTTTGTGTCAAGTTCAGTAGCTTTGAAGGCCTTCCAGAGGAGTAGTTTATTAGAATTCTGAGTCAGGCAAATAGATTTCTTGAAGCCATCAAAAGCACTTACCTCTCTCCCCATTGAATATAATGGAAAAGTGGGGCACTTGGTTTTGGAGCATGTCTTTATCCCAGTATCACAGTATGCTAGAGATTGGAAGGGACCTCGAAAGATCATCTAGTCCAATCCCCCTGCCGGAGCAGGAACACCTAGATAATGTTACACAGGAATGTGTCCAGGCGGGTTTTGAATGTCTCCAGGGAAGGAGACTCCACAACCTCCCTGGGCAGCCTGTTCCAGTGTTCCGTCACCCTCACTGAGAAGAAGTTCCTTCTCAAGTTTAAGTGGAACCTCTTGTGTTCCAGTTTGTACCCATTACCCCTTGCCCTATCATTGTTTGCCACTGAGTAGAGCCTGGCTCCATCCTTGTGACACTCCCCCTTTATATATTTATAGACACTAATAAGGTCACCCCTCAGTCTCCTCTTCTCCAAACTAGAGACCCAGCTCCCTCAGTCTTTCCTCATAAGGGAGATGCTCCACTCCCTTAATCATCTTAGTTGCCCTGTGCTGGACTCTCTCCAGCAGCTCCCTGTCCTTCTTGAACTGAGGGGCCCAGAACTGGACACAATATTCCAGATGGGGTCTCACCAGGGCAGAGTAGAGGGGAAGGAGGACCTCTCTCGACCTACTAACCACCCCCCTTCTAATACACCCCAGGATGCCATTGGCCTTCTTGGCCAAAAGGGCACAGTGTGGGCTCATGGTCATCCTGTCGTCCACTAGGACCCCCAGGTCCCTCTCCCCTACACTGCTCTCTAACAGGTCGTTTCCCAGCCTATACTGGAACCTGGGGTTGTTCCTGCCCAGATGCAGGACTCTACACTTTCCCTTGTTCTATTTCATCCAGTTATTCCCTGCCCAACTCTCCAGCCTGTCCAGGTCTCGCTGGATGGCAGCACAGCCTTCTGGCGTGTCAGCCACTCCTCCCAGCTTAGTGTCATCAGCAAACTTGCTGATAGTACACTCAATTCCCTCATCTAAATCATTGATGAATATATTAAATAATACCGGTCCCAGTACTGACCCTTGAGGCACTCCACTAGTTACAGGCCTCCAACTAGACTCTGCCCCATAGACTACAACTCTCTGGCTTCTCTCCTTCAGCCAGTTCGCAGTCCATCTCACTACCTGATCATCCAGACCACACTTCCTCAATTTAGCCGTGAGGATGCTGTGGGAGACTGTGTCAAATGCTTTGCTGAAGTCAAGGTAGACCACATCCACCGCTCTGCCATCATCCATCCACCGTGTTATTTCCTCATAAAAGGCTAAGAGATTGGTCAAACATGATTTCCCCCTGGTGAAGCCATGTTGACTGCCCCTCATAACCCTCTTATCCTTGATATGCCTTAAGATGGCACCAAGGATAAGGTGTTCCATCACTTTCCCAGGGATGGAGGTGAGGCTGACCGGTCTATAGTTACCCGGGTCCTCCTTCTTGCCCTTTTTGAAGACTGGAGTGACATTTGCTTTCCTCCAGTCCTCAGGCACCTCTCCTGTTTCCCAAGACTTGGTAAAGATGATGGAGAGTGGTCTAGCAATGACTTCCGCCAGTTCCCTCAGCACCCGCAGGTGCATCCCATCTGGACCCATGGATTTATGGATGTCCAGATTGCTCAACTGGTCTCTAACCCATTCCTCATCGACTAAGGCAAACCGCTCAGTTGACCTGACTTCACCTAAGGTCTCAGGGGTACAGGGCTCTTCAGGACTGCCTGCAGCAGAGTAGACAGAGACAAAGAAGGCATTCAGTAACTCTGCCATCTCTGTATCTTCTGTCACCAGGGCACCCATCCCGTTCATCAGTGGGCCTGCATTGCCTCTGGTGTTAGTTTTATCTGCCATGTATTTGAAAAAGCTCTTTTTGCTGTCCTTGACCCTTCTCGCCAGGTTTAATTCTAAGGAGGCCTTAGTCCTCCTAGCTGCCTTCCTACATCCTCTAGCAGCAGCCTTATATTCCTCCCAAGTGGCCAGCCCCTCCTTCCATGACCTGTAAACTCTCCTCTTCCACTTGAGCATACCCAGCAATTCCCTATTTAGCCACGCAGGTCTCTTGGCCCTCTTCCTTGACTTCCTACGTGTCGGGATGCTCCGATCTTGAGCACGGAAAAAGCAATCCTTTATGTACATGAAGCTTAGATGCAAGTCCTGTGCTTAAATTATGCAGGCTGAATGTGCACTGCTGAGGGGTCAGAAGACAGTTCCTGCCGCCCTTGTACTACAGGAGAAACCTGCATCAGAAGTTTGTTACTGGTTGTGTACTCTTCCATGCTGCTAAGTGTTCACGGACCCAGGTCAAGTCTACTGATCCAACAATTTCTAGTAACATTGCGAAAAATCTGCATAACAAAAAACAAGTACCACCTTTTTATTTCAATAAAAATAAAACTTTCTGTAATTTCACTGAATAAAATTATGCCTTTCCTCTACACAAATATCCTCCTACAATCCTAAAAATATCGACTATGAGCAGAAAACCAGCTAACTGTGAAAAGCAATCAGATCTTTGCACATTTTAAAATTATTTCCTATGCAAGTTACCTCACAAACCATACTCCAGGGATGCAGTCTGAGGCACCAGAGCCCAAGATAAGTTCACTGCAGGTTAAAACTTTTGCAATTCCAATGATAAATTACAACTGGAAATAAAAGAGGCCAGTGCTGATCTCTGAATTGTGAAATTACTCAGGTGAGGCTACTCTCCCTCATTAATAGGAAAAGACATAATCTCTACCATAGTCTTACGCTGCTTTCCCCAGCAGTAAGTATCACCTCTGCCCTATTTAAATTAAATCTCAGCTAGTCATCAAGGTCTCACTCAAGCCCTTTTGTCAATCAGGCACTGGGAAAACCAGAACACTGGCACCATCTGAGTCAGATTAAAAAGGAGATCTAGAGATATGTGCCATTGATGTCTCAAGCTGCCTGTATCCCCAGGTAGCTTCACATACTTACTACACCTATAGGATCTGTAAGCAAGCAACTACATCCACATGGGGAAGCAGGACTTGCATGTGAGTACCCCATGATTCAAGGCAAAAGAGAAAAAGCAAAACCAAACAAGTGTTGCAAGCCCACTACATTTTTAGCGAAGCCAGAAGGAAAGATTTTTTCCTTACAGGATATTTAACGAAAAATACCTTCACTTTACCTGTTTATAGGAGCTGAAAATTCATCCCATAATAAGTCCAATTTCTAAATTATAGTCATAATTTGTGAATCTATAGGTACCAAGACAATGTGAGGCTTTTCAGGAGTACCAGAATTACCTTTTCTGTATCCTCTGACAGCAGGGTAAGGTCAGAAGCACAATATGTCACAACCATTTTTTGCCCTACACATTGCAACTGCGATTGCATCTCACAAATTACTAGAAAGCCCAGTATAATACCTTGATTTAGAATAACGGGGGGGGGGGGGGGGGGGGGGGGGGGAGGAACAAATAAAAAAATAGAGCACTTAAATTCAGTTTTATTCCATCATTATAATGGTTGGCATCAGAAAAATTTGCTTCCTAGCTGCACAAGTGTTAAAAAGATAGAGCTTGAGTAATGGAAGGCCTAAGTAAAGTTTTAATAGTACAAGTGATGAGGAAAGGTAAAAAAGACATAGATCCCAGCTGATTTGAACTATCCTGGAATTTTACTGAATTTTACTATAGAAATTCAACTTCAACATAATGATATTATTTTTTTAAGACTGTAATAAATGCTTATTTACTGCTTCATTAATTGTTCAGAAATTAACAAACATAAAATTAGCAGAGAAGTAAAGAATTATACTAGATCCATAAGGACTGGTGCTTGAGGTGAAGGTTCCCTTTGAAGAAATTCTTTAACTAGGACAGAAAGACTGTCTTAAACTTAGGGGAGCAAGACAAAGAGAACGAGATGAGAAAACAAAAGAGATCATGTGCACCTTTCTACCTTTTGAAAGAAGGGAAAAGTGAGGAAAAAAACCTAGACAGCAAGAGGTCACTGAGTGCGAAGTGGTGAAATGCAAAGACAAAAGCAAACATCTCTTTTGAGCAAGTAGTAACTTTGAACAGCATTAATATTCCCAGGTGTTCCTCCATCTTAACCAAATAATTTGTTTGGAGAGCTAAGGAGCTGACTTTGCTGTCCTTGCCTGCAGTTATTCTACGCTGGACATGTTATCCTTACTTCTCAGTTTTCATCCTCTGAGTATCATCATCAAACTTGCTAATGGTGCATTCAACTCCTGCATCCAGATCATTGATAAACATATTAAACAGCACTAGCCCTAGAACTGAACCCAGAGGAACACCACTAGTGACCAGTCACCCAGATGCTGGTGCCTTACCCTCTTTCTCCTGCCCTGGGACATGCTGCTTCCAGACATATTCTCTCTGAGAAAGCCCAACATGCACAGAGCTTTTCCTACAGCTCAAAACAGCACAGAAAAATACCAGTTAGATAGAAATATCTATTCAGGAAATCATATTGCTTTCCCTTCTAGCCTACCTGTAGGGGATAGATGCAGGAACAAGCTACAGCTACGAGATTTTTAAGGCTAAAAGCTTGAAATAAGCAGGACACAGGCCCCTGGATCCAAGCTCTTGCTGCGTAGTCTGCTAGGTGAGAGGTTTTGGCATCATATTTTGGCTGCCTGCCTGCTCCCCACCCCAGCTGAGATTTCTTGCAGAGGAACCAGTTCTCATCCTGAACAACTGGATTCCCCATTAAAAAAATAAACAAACAAACAAAAGTGCATGATTTGGACTGCTGCAGGAAAGCAACTGTTGTGAATCCTCATGCTGTTTATACTTGAGTAGATGAGGGAAGGTAACATATTAGTATAAGACCTGTAATCTGTTAAGTACAACATTAGGGCAACAGCAAAATACAAAAACTTTATTAATTGAGAGGATGTTGCTTCTTAGCAGAATTTTCTCACAAAGCAGCACTTTCTTCTTGACATGATCTGATTTTCCAAATAGCTTTGGACAATGTGTGTGTTAGTATTATTTTCAGGATAGGCTGCCAAGAATGCAAAGCATTCAAAGAATTGGTTTTGAGAATTTGTATTTTGAAAGAGAGAGGATTTCTCATCTCTTTAATACGTGATGCAGTTGCACCCTCTCTGCATGATTAATAAATACCATCAGCTCTGCAGAGTTGTGAGAGTGCTAAGCATATGAAAAGGAACAGAACTGAAACAGTACAAGTAACATATGAGTTCTGCATGAGAAAATAAGAGACCTAGTAACTGAACATCTTGTGTCAAGGTACCGACTTCTGTTCCAGACCTGCAGCTCTCTTATTTGGTACCACTGGTTAAGCTGTTGCCCTTACACATTATTGGTAACCAATATGAAAGTCATGCCCTAGGATCACCAAAATTCCCAAAATGTACCCAGTCTTCCAAGTTTCCCCACTATTTTTTTTATTAGCAAAATAAAAACCAGACATCTTGAAAATTCGCTTGCAAAGTAAAACAGTCAAAACTCAGAGTGGATTTTCCTCTTTTCCCTGAAAGAGACCCAGCAGTATGTAAGGTGCCTACAACAGAGACAAGAAATGTTGAGCTACAGAACAGCTGACATGAAAGAGCAAGGTTAAGATGGTCAAAAGGGATCTTAACTATAAGCTGTGCCTCTTGAAACAGACACAAATCAGAGGGAACTCTTTTGCCAAATCAAACAACTGGGGAATAGGAACAGAGTGTGATCTGCAAAAACTGGTATTGTACAGAATTAGGGAACAAAAGAAATTAAAGAAAACCTTGAAGTCAGAGCGGTATTCTTACGACAGCTCAGTCACCTCTTATTTGGAGAGTACACCCAAGGCAGGAGAGTACATAAAAGTGGCAGCTACCCAGAACAGCAACCATGCAGTAATGTCTCCCCATCCCTCATGAAGCTGGTACCTATTGCCAGCTACAGCACAGGCACAGATCTGGGGAACAAGGGTTTGCCACAGGAGGGATAGCTGGGGAACTGCATGCCCTCTGCCCCCCACTCTGGGAACAAAAATGACCCCTTTGCCACTCAGCTGCTTTTTGAAAGGTGATAGGGAAATGAAGTGGTGCAATTTGCTTTTCTCAAGATTTAATTCCTTTCTCTTCAGCACCTCTGCAAGTTAAGTTAGTCAGAGAGGTATGACACATTCCCCCCCTTCCCACCTGCCTGCCACAGCAGGGAAAGGAGAGGAGCCCACATGTCCAAGCCCCGTGTGTTTTCAGGCACAACACCCAGGCAGAGGCCAACTTGACAAGTTCTGATCTCAGCTGCACCAAGCATTTGTATAATGATCTCTAGCTAGGTTTCTGTTGTTTAACCTGTTTTTAGACTCTGGTCTCACCCGCTTTGGTTTGATGACCCTCTGACGCACTCTGTAGATGAATCCACCAAACCAAGGGCTGGTCCTAAAAGGAGTGAGTTTGTTTTGGTTGTTATATAGCAGTTATCTGCAAAACACTCATTCATTGCCTTTTTGTCTCTCTCTGCAATCCCTGTGGGTTATTTTGGCCACATACACCAGCTACACTGGAATTACAGGGACAATCACAGAATTGCAATTCAGAGGACAAAAATAGTAGACTCTGGCTCTCCAAGTTTCATTGCTTCTTAAGATGAATTTATAATAAGCATTCTGGGGTATCTGATAAATCTCCAGGTAATATCAATAATACTTTTTTAAATGTATTTACTCAAGGAATTAATTCAGTTTTATCACCAAGAGTATCTCTGCTTCATTTTTTTTATAGAATGTCATGCACACACAGGAGGGTACTTTTCAGTCTGAAGAAAACCTTGAGTTGAAAGCAACCCACTTCTCACAGCATCTTGCAATTTTGCTTATAGCATAATACTTGGAAGTATTTCTCCCATCATCGCTCACTGCATCCTCTGTAGAGACTGAGACCAACCCCAGAACATAAATTGTTTGCATCCCCACCAAACAAAAACAAAACAAAAAAAAAAAAAAAAAACAACAAAACCCCTTTTCATATATTCAATAAGAAAGATATTAAAAAAATAAAAAGAAACAGTGAACTCTACACAGCATTTGCAGACAGCAGATTATGCTCCCTATTTTGAGAAGGCTGCAGAATGCTTTTTAGGTGGTCGTTACCATAAAAATACGCTACATCAAAAGCCACCGTATTACTTTCTAGAAAGCTTCTGCTCCGTCACAGTGGGGTAGCCTGATATTTCATTGCTTTGCCTACTACACAGTGCAACATGTGCTAAATCTAAGAAATGTTTTTTGTGTCTATTAATGTCTCCAGCACCATGTCCAGTGTGCCCTACTTCATCCTGTATTTAACAGTGTAGGCAAAAGAGATGTGTATGGCATAAAGAGATATTTCTCCCATTACTCTACTTTGGATTTGACTTCCATTTGCTTGCTTGGCATCAGGGAATTTTTCTCAAGAACAGTTTTGCACAAGTAGCTGTTTTAAGCTCTGATTATACTGCTTCAGGGAAGAGATACAATATTCAAGTATGAGCTTTGGAGTGAGGATCAACGCATTAAGTAACAAGAGATTTTAATGAATGCCTTGAAGGCTCTAAAGCCGGAGAAATGTAAAATATATACTATTCCAGTGTACATCTCCAACACAACTTGATGCCTTTCCTATTTCAAAACAGAAGATGTTACCAAGTTGTCTGGTTTAAGAGCATCAGTTCAATGAAAGGAGTAGGATCATACTGTACATCTCTGCTGCTTTTTTCAATAAACACCGAAAAAACACAGGGGTAAAAACTACTACACCTGTTCATAAACATAATTGCTCTGGTTTCTGTTCCAGCTCATCCTTGCCACGTGGGAAGGAGGCTACAACTTGCAGTGCCAGAACCTCCACAGTGCAGGGGAGGCCGACATTCGGGTAAGACACAGCAGCAGTTCAGCCCCCAGTACGCACAGCAGTCCTGCTCTCCATGTGGTTGATGCAGCATGCCTCTGTGTTCACAACAGTTATCAGGATGTTATCAGAAGCATCTTTAACATGGTTTTAATCAATATAGATGCGTCCTTGCCATGGAAAGCATGACAGGGAGTGTTTTGAAAGCCATATATCAAAATTTGTGGTGAAAACACTGTTGTCTGACTATTAAGACAGAGTATATGGATCATCTGAAAACTCAGAATAAAAAATCAATCTTTTAAAACATAGCACTTGTTGGGCTGTAGCTGGGAATTGATTTAAGCCCAACTCAGCCCTGGAAAACAGCAGACACTGCTGGCTTGACTCATCTCTGATTTCAACCCTTATTTCAGCATCACAGCAATTCCATGTATTAACCTTCTCTCATTTGCCATGTCAGGCTTACTTTCCAGATAACAGTGTAGCTCAGGAGCATGAAGACTGGTTAACTTACAGAACTTTCCCTAACCCTCAAAATTTATCTGTATCATGGCAAAGAAAAGGTATTTTCCCCCTTTCTGTTTTAACTGACTGCCTTTAACTGTTCTAGAACATATCCTGAGCTCTGATAAAGTGTCTCAACTCTAGAGGAGAATATATTCCACTGTAATGGGTGTCAAATTTGGATTATTTAAGAAGCAGCAGCCACCAGCAAAACCTGTTCTGTACCAAGAAAGTGTAAATGGTAGCACCCTTAAAAAATAAAAAAATAAAACCCCAAAACCCTGAAGATAAAAAATACAATTGTGTGGGGTTTTTTGTTAAGAAAAAAAAAGAACAATTAGAAAACTCTTCCTCAAAGCTTGTATTTTTAAATTTAATTTAGCTATATATGTATACAATCACATTAAAAAAAGTCATCTGTTTTTTATAAACAGCCTCATTCAAAAGGAAAATAAAACTTAAGCCAGACCTTGAGCTCCTCCTTCAGTAGGACATTAATGCCTTTTGAGAAGTTGCATGCCTAGTGACTGATGAAGTACAGCAATATTTAAGTCCTTTTATGGATAGATACTGATCTCCTGCTCCTTTGCTCTTGCTTGTACAGGTAGCCAAGGTGCTGTGGTGGTATTACTTTTCCAAAGTAATTGAATTCATGGACACCATCTTCTTTGTACTGAGAAAGAAAAGCAGCCAGATCACCTTCCTTCATGTGTATCACCATGCCACTATGTTTAACATTTGGTGGTGTGTTCTAAACTGGATACCTTGTGGGCAAAGTAAGTCTGCTTGCTTAATCACCTGGGGTGTAAGTCACCTGCTGCTGGAGAGGAATCACATCACCATGCAAAACAAATGTGTCACAGTGCTATATGATAGCACCTTTAAGGTTCATAGCCTTTCAGAACAGCTGAACACCTGCAGGCAGCAGTAAAATTAAAAGCACGGTTAAAAGTTCAGGCGAAAAATATCTGAGTCTTAGGCCCTAGATTTTTTACTTAGCCGACACTGCTTCTCACATTTACTTCTCTTCAAACCACTTTCAGGTAGAGTAACACTACTATAGTACACAAGAGTGATCACATACAAGACCTACTCCATAAGCAGATGTAGGAGGAAGTCATAACCCTGGTAAAGTCAGCATCAATCACAACAAAGGATCTCAATAGCATGTTATAGGTTTGACTCCTTTATGCATCGATCTGACATTCTGCTTTAGCAAGATACTTTACTTACACAATCACTAATTAAAATACCAGCTTGAGTTTGTTTGGTTTTAAATAAGAATACATCTCATTCATGTAGTAGAGCTACTGGACAGCCAGAACTGATTGATAGGGTCTTACATTTCATACTGAAATAGCCGAAGTATCAGCATCCTTTGCCTTATTACATTTTGGGTTTGATAGACTTCACAACAGTAATCTCCAAATGGCTTGATGTTTTCCTTAATGGATTTTTATAGGTTTCTTTGGACCCACTTTGAATAGCTTTATCCATGTGCTTATGTATTCATATTATGGACTGTCAGTCATCCCCTCTATGCGCAAGTATCTCTGGTGGAAGAAATACCTCACTCAGGCACAATTGGTATGTATCTATTTTACTCTCGTATTTAAGTACCAGAAATCCTTTAAAACACCAGAGAGGCAAAATTAATGATAAATATTGTAATTTTCAGAATTCAGCCAGTTAGAATTCAAATATAACAAGGTTGTCATACAGAATAAGTCACTAGTGTGGCCTGGTATAACTTAATAAAGGAAATAACGTTTAGAAATATTTTCTACAATAAAATAGAAAGTCTGTAGTCCATAGAATTCCATCATTTTTTATCTCTTGCACAGAAAATGGACAATGCTTAATCATGGCAAATGGACTGATTAAAAAGTTATAAAAATTGTCAACGGAGCCAGCTCCAAGACAGACCCACTGCTGGCCAAAGCTGAGCCCATCAGCAAAGCTGGGCGCACCTCTGTGATATTATATTTAATAAAGGGTAAAAAATGCTGCACAGCAACTGAGAGGGAAGGGGGGGGAATAGAGACTTAGGGGAAGGTGGTTTTAGTTTTATTTCTCATTATCCTCTGTTGTTAATTGGCAATAAATTAATCTTCTTGAAGTCAAGTCTGTTTTACCTGTGGTTATAATCAGCAAGTTTCACCAATTACCCTCCCTGCCCTTACCTGAATCCACAAGTTTCATCATATTTTCTCTCCCTACCCTACTAAGGAGAGGAAGTGAGAGAGCAGCTGGGTGGTCACCTGGCAGCCAACCAGGGTTAACCTACCACACCGTGGTACAACTACAAAATGCAAAATCGTGTAGGACAGAAGTTGTGTGACTTCTTAAAGTCTACTCCAACAGTTGCTGTAACCAAAAAGCTGAGCCATATCAAAAGCTGCTATCAGCAAGATGTAAGGCTTGATGTGAAATAAAGCTCCTTTCACTTTTTCGTCTTGGGGGCTGTTCATATTATATGGGAGTTCAGATGTTTGCAGTGAGCTTGAACACACCCGAGTACAAATGTGTTTTGCAAATGCCTCTTCTCTGAGGTGAGACCATCCCTACAGTTGAAAAATGCTGCCCTGTTAGAAATGCATCTCAGCACACTGGATTGAGGGCATGCTCAGCTGACTGGAGAGAATCAGATGCACCAGCATGGGCTGCAGCTCACAGTCCTAAGTACAACTAGGCTTCTGCAATTCCTTCTCCATCTTCATTTGTCCCCATCTCAACTGCATTAATGCAAAACTTCTCCTCAGGCCTGGGATTTCCATTTTCTGTTCAGACTCCTAAAGCTATTGTCTGGAGTCTTCCAAATTTTTGTAAGTTTCTGCGCACTAACAGAGACAACGCTGTAGCTGGCACGACAAGGTCTAGAGAATAGAATAACCCCTCTTAAAAAGAAAGCTTGCATTTTGCCAACTAGTCCTATACACTTACATTTTTAGAAATCCGACCCATTAATTTTTTTTAATTCCATAAGAGGGCCATTTTAACTTAACCCTCACAATAGAGTCACAAGTTCAGAAAGGGGCCATTTTCAAGAGTATTCAAAGCTTCCAAAGAGAAGAACTAGATAGCATTGTTATATCCGATTTAGCTAGCACTGACCCTTTCTCAGCAGATACTCATGCATGATCTTTCCTCCCCAGATCCAATTTCTGCTCACTATTGTGCACACACTCAGTGCAGCTGTGAAGCCATGTGGATTCCCATTCGGCTGCCTCATGTTCCAGTCCTCCTATATGGCCACACTGGTCATTCTCTTCGTAAACTTCTACATCAAGGTAAGCAGTCTTCCAAGAGCTCTCTGACAACAGTGGAGGATAAAAGAGGTAACTTTTTGGATAGCAGTCTTGATCAACTCACATGTAAGAAAGCACCTCAGTACTTAAAATACGTCTGCATTACAATACACATCAGTTCAGAATGATAGCTACAATAATGTGTGCAAAACAGTTATTCAGTAGCAATGATCTCCCCATTGCAGCTCAACTCTTCTGCGCTTGGCAGAGCAAGTCAGGTACCACATTCAGGACTTAGGAGGTCTGACCTTGCTCTGTTGGGCACCTTTTTTGACTCTACCTCCTTCCCAGGGGAAAAAAAAACATGCAACTCTGTATTGTTTACTTCAACCTTCTTTAGCAGGGAATGCTCCAGGCTGCCTGCATACATAGATCTTTTAGTGAAAAGGACTTAAAATCTCTTCTGATGTTAAGAAGTATTATACAGCAATGCTAGTAAAGTAATATCACCTACAGCAGTGCAAATAATACATGTAACACAGTGAAGCAAATACATGCATCTGCATCAACAAAAACCAGACAGCTCCATTTTGCAGTTAACCATAAGTAGTGTTTGGGGGTACTAAATAAACCCAAGTATTAACTTTGGATTTTGCTTTTATAGACATACGGGAAAGCACCTTCAAGAACAGCTACAAAGGAAACCCCTGTCACAACAGAAATCAAGAACGGTTTCCATAAGGACTACTTTGTTGCTGCCAATGGATTCCTGGACAATAAAAAAGCACAATAAGTATGGTACTTCTTGTGCTTTCTTTTTTCTAAAGAAAAAAAAAAAAGGGAAAAGAAAGAAAAAAAGAAGACTGAATTACAAGCTTTAGCTTAAAACCTGTTTGATTACATTTATCAGTTCTTTCTACCAGACACTTATTAATGTACCACTATTTAGGTTTTAACAAACTTGCTCTGTCAAAGATCACCATTGGAACAAAGGCAGCCAAGATCTTTATCCTGTGAAAAAGAAAACCTTTGTGATCTCTAATGCTGACACAAAAACGCCTTATCAAACACTTGATGGGTAAACCCATCAATGCCTTCAAAAGGTTAAGACTCCGTTCAGACTAATGCAGTAAGCACTTTCTATGCAAGAGAGAGGTCTTGAGGCAAGACCTCAACAATCCACCCAAGACATTCAGCTAAACTGTGGCTGTAGTCAGGAAAAGGAGGAAGGGGAGAGGAGGAACGCTGGGAATCATGCCTTTTCCATCATCATTCCTCCTTTGCTTCTCCCCAGATGTTCCCCAAAGCTTCCCTTGACACCAGCAAGATGCAGCCATCCCTTTGGTTGTGTGGGAGCCCTGAGGAAGGACATGCACTATACTTGCTTTACATATGTGCAACCTGACTCAGATGCCACAAAGGCTGTGCATTCTGCTTCAAGGGGGGTGGAATGGTAGCACATGGGACTTCCCAGTACGGCATTTAGAAGACATGATATCATATCATGATAAGAGGTTCTGAGCAAAACATGTAATTTCAGATGTGCTAGATCAGAGTTCTGAGTAAATGGATTTTGAGAGAAATAAGAGCTCAACAACTTACTGAAGACAAATCCTTTGAGTGTTTAACATGCACAAAGTTAATCCTATACAAATACTGTAATTTGCCACAAACTGACATGCCACATATTGATAGACTGGAAGATGCAGAAAATCTTCAAAGTGAATTCAGCAACAAGCAAAACACATAATAAAGGAATTTCTGTGCTAGGTGGGCCTTATTCAGACTGGTTTCTGACTGGAGAAACAGATGTGACTGAGGCGCAATCCTCTGTAGGGAAAGCAAGGAGATATTTACTGTCTGTAGCTGTAACAGACTGGCTATATCCAGCCACAATCCTTTCTGCTTCAGTTAGCTGCATTTACCTCCCACTTCAATTATGAGAAATTCAAAATACCCAAGGTTAGTTTGGGGATCTGCTTTCACAGTTTTCTTAGCAATGTGGACAAAACCTTTCTGATCTGGCAGAAAACTGAAATCCCCAAAATGCTGCAGCACAGGTGGCACATTTTGGTAGCCTGGCTGCTAAACTGCATCATTATGAACTCAGTCATCAAAATAACTGCAATGTTCAAACACTTTTACACCACCACCCGAGACAGGTGCATATTTATATTGCTCCCTTTTCATGAAACTGGCCACAGTGAAAGTCAGTGTTTTGTTTTAACATTCAATAAGGAGAGAAGGCAGCAACCAAAAAACAACTACAACCCAAAAGCTTCCCACTGGCCCTTCCAGAATCTTCACTTTGCAGATCTTTCTGGTTGATACTCACAGGTTGTAAGAAATTAGTGGGTTTGACTGAAGGTGTTGTACATAGCTAAGTAAAGGGAGAGCCTCAGAGCTCTGCAGACATCAGCTTGATACTGGAAGCAGGAGTAGAGAGAGTGAAATGGAAGACCTGGCAAGTTAGCACATGAAGCAAATAGCTGAACCATTCATCTGAAACAGGTAACAAAATAGGTTATGTCGCCCAGCATGGATTTTAGGCTGAATGGAGTCCGCAACCTTTTCATGGCAAAGCATGCATTTGACTATCAAGGTGGACAGCGTCAGCGTGCTAAGTGTTGAAGTTTACTGTAGCAAACAAACCCACAGATACTGTCTTTTGTTTTGTTGAAACCTCTTTTAAAAGAATACATAAATAAATAAATGCCTTACTCAAAACTCAAAGGGCTTGGGAAAAAACAAAAACAAAAACAAAAAAAGAAAAATAAAAAGAAAAAGAAAAAAGGAAAACCAAGATGGTCTCACCTTGTAGAACCAGACCACCCAGGAAGGCTGGAACCAGGTATGTTTAAAACTTTTCAGATCTTAACATCTTCCAAATGCTGCAACTCTGAAGAAAAAGCAGCACTGACTTTTTAAACTGATTTTCCTGTAACGCATAACACTGTAAATAAACAAATTTTACTATCAGGCTGTCTCCACTCCTATTTAAGGCACTGCTGGGAACTGGTTATTTGAGGCTACTTTTGTTCTCGAGCTCTTTCAGAAAACTCTTAGGACGTTCATCTTGGACTGAGAAACAACCTCCATAACTTTACACACTTTCATTGCGTTGATGCAACACTCACCTGTGGTTTTTGTGTAACCGTTGGCTGTGCTTTGTCCTCCCCTTTGACTGGGCAGGGGGTATTTCTGCATATCATGCTCTAATTGGGTTGATAAGAAACAGTTTTTCACAGTATGCAGATACAGCATATTTACACTTCCTTACGTAAGACACCTTTCTATGGTAGAAGGAATATTCCCATCCCTCCTAGACAGTCTTGCATCTTGACAGGGATTCTACAGAGCAAAACAGGCTCCTGCCTTTGCTCCTCTGCGTTATAGTTCAGGTGAATGAGGCAGATGTTGTGAATACCCCATTCAGCTTGCTTTTTCCATGCAGAGAGAAAAACCCCTTCCAGCCCAAACTTCAATCCAAACAGACTTGTTAAAATTATCTGGGCTCAGGTGCCTCCCTGCTTCCACTCTCTTGCCTTCCAGACTGTGGCTGGCGAGATCCTTTTGATGCACTTGTTATAAACAGCTAAAAAGAGCAGTCTTGACTTTGATAGAGGAAAATTTCCAATTAGCGCATGGGAGAATAACCATTGCATCCCACTCATTAGTTCAAGTGATTTTGACTCCTGGTTTTTACTCACGTTTAAGGAACTCAGTAGTGCCCACATACAATACCACAAACATCTCTAGATTTTGCTGTGCATGACAGCATGAGGGCACAGTGAAGCGCAACTGGATCATCACAGGTGAGACATGGTGAAAATGGAACTTACAGAACATCATCTCTCTGCCCAAACTTACCTACCTAGAGTAAGAAAGCCTAGCTTACCTGTTCTTTGCTAAGATATGGAATCCTGTCAGTCAGTCCAGACTTCTTTACTGGGTACACAGCTTCCCGTACCTGCTGTTTCTACTATATAAAGGCTTTAAAATATTTCATTTGGAAGCTCTACTTGACAAAAATAAGCAAACAAATCAGCAGTCAACAGCCTAGAAAGAAGCATGTGAATTTCCAGCATCTCCTGTACAGACTTTGCAGCTGTGAAAAGCTTTTAATTAACACACATTTCCTCAAAAAAGGCAAAACCTAGCCTTGAATAACTATTTCAAACTGACAAAAAGGGAAGTCTGGTCAAATTCAGCAGATGAATCTCTGTTAGGACAGAGAAAAGAACCACTGAGATTATCTTCAATATATGTGAAAATTCTAAAATTTTATCCTCATAATCAAAAAAATTTGAGTTTCGGAAAATGTTTAACTACTTCTGAAAGACTTAATTTCTGTTTGGAACACATTCAGTAAAACCATATGAATGGGATAAAGGATTAGGATCTCAACACCACAAAATTGAGGCAGCTGTTCCTTTTCACTTTCCCTGCAACCTACCAAGTTGCATTTACAGGTCTTGCTCAAGAACACAGAAAACAGCTATTTAGTGTCCTGCTTTGGCCAAGGCCACCAGAACCCACAGCTCCTTGTTTCTGGGACAATATTTTGGGGTTTACATTATTTGAGCCTGAAGAAGATTAAGTACTCCATGGAAACGGAATGGTTTAACAATAAGCTGTACCTGAATAAAGGGTGTAGACATGCAAACACTTGACCCTGCTCTTATAGACTCACCATGTACGTGGGAGGATATGGAAGTAAAATGGAAGAAAAAAAGCTATTGAGTTTGATTCACTCACTTTTGGTTTTGGATGTTAGCAGCTTCCCAAGGAATGAAGAGGCTGCTGAGGTGTGCCATGGCTCAGCTTCACAGGGCTTCTCTCTCAGTCTGGCTGTTAAGTAATGCTTTCTCAATTCTTCCTCATGATAAAAAAAACCCACCCAACAGATGACCAGGAAAGGCTCCGTTGCTGTGCTTGGTTCCAATACAAAATAGCTTTCAGCTGTTCCTGGAAACTACTCTATTTTCCAGTGCACCACTCATTTAGACACAGTCTTACCACTTGCAGAAGCAGAACCTGCCCCAGCACACTCCTGCCTTCTGAGAGCAGGACAAGCCAACCCTAGGCCAGGGCTAATGCAAACACGCAGTTCCTCTGGTCTATATGACCATTTCCAGGCACAGAGGACACCCCTTTAGCTGGCCTTGCGCAGCCTTCACATAGCTTTGCCCCTAGGCATCACTAGCCCTCTAGACCTTAAATGGACCCTTGCAGTGGTGCAGAACATGAAGGTAAACAAGCACTTGGCACAGTGTCATCCCCTGAAAGAGAGGACAAAGATAGCAGGGGTTATAACAAGGTTTAATATTAAACTGATTAAGAGCTTAAAATGCATGAAGCAGTTGTCCTTAACCTGCATTTTGTATTTCCCACTTCTTTTTGTGGGTAACAAGTGGGTTTTGCACTTTAACATCCACATAATCTTTGTTGCTCTGGCTCAGAAGAAGAGAGTGAAAATTGGGCTATATCTATTTACATGGAAAGGAAAAAAATAAAAATAAAAAAGCTGGATAAATAGCACTTAAAAGAGCATAAGTGAGCAACCAAAGGAAAAATGCCAAGGTCAACTACCTACCTTCTAAAAAGAAACATTAGGGTAACCTGTCTGTGTTGACAAGATATGATCTGCACAAGTCAAACGGACTTAGAACCTTCAGGGGGCTTCAGCAAAAACATGCTGAACTGAGTAAACAGCACAAGAAGTGGTATGGGGTGGGTTGTCCAAAATCAAAGTTATTCCTGCCCCAGGTGCTGTCTCCAAACACAACTACTACTGACTACAAACAGAAAGACCCTTAGGAAAGGCCACAACTTCCAGCATATCCCCCCAGCTTGGGCATTTCACAGGTTACGGAGCTCTCACTGAGCTTCCCAAAAGGTGAAGTGTTTTATACGAAGGGATAGAAAAAGTGCAGGAGTAGGAGACATCTCAGCTGTATGGCATCTTTTCTGCTCTCCCATACCACTAAGAGCAGACTTTTAGGGTTCAGACTTCTCCAATTAAACAGTTAAAAACAAGTGTAGGCCCATACAATATTATGATAATTTTTAATAAGTAAGAGATCCTGATTTCACCTTCATCCACACCCTCTGAAGTGTTTAACACTCACCTTTCAAGCTTTGTAGCAACAGGTTACATGGACACTCAACAACAACAGATACAGCTAGCATTGGTATTGGTACTGTAAATTACCTAGCAAAGATACTGGGATGAAAAATGTGCCTAAATTTTTACAGTCACAGAAGACACCAACAGCATTCTGCCAGAACACATGAAGGGTGGGGAAACAGCAAAACGAAACTTGCTGCACCTCTACTCTGTTGTGCTGATAAAACTTGAATGCTTAGCATCTCTTAGAGATGAATGAATCCATCAAACAACATATTAGAAATGAAAATTCAACCATTATTGTGTTTAAAAAAATAAACATTTTTAAGTTCTTAAACCAGAGACAGACATCACATCTCCTATATTAACTCTTTCCTTTGAGCAATAAGCTCCTTGGAAATACTGGTGAGCAAGTCTAAACTGGACAAGGCAACATCCACCCCAAAGTAGATGACACATGCCTGAAGGATGCAGGTTATCAGCACTGTTTCTTCATGTTTCACCAGGTCATGGATAATAAATCCATGGGATGCAGGCATTTACCCAGCAAGTACTATAAGTACCATTTTGGTACTTAGGATGGGGAGAAACATTGCACAAAGCATCTCTTTACATTCACTAATGTGAATTCTGGGTTACCATAACAAGCAACAAGGCAGTTCATCCTAGTCCCAGGATCTTACTACTAAGGTAGTAAAACCCAAAATGTTTTTCTGTTTTGGATCTGGTACAGCCAAGGCAATAGGAAGGATGTTCACTTCACTCCAGCTGGTATCTTAAAGCCTATTTTGGTTAATGACACTGCTGGCGCAACCCCAGCCTACCACCACACCAGTGCGACACAAAGCATGCCGAAAAGTCTGTTACTGGGCTGCAAAACTAAACAGCTTTAGCTGGTGCAA